CCCGCCCCTCCCTCCCTCCCTCCCCGCACGCACACTGACTATCGCTGCACGCCACAGACATTTACTACTACCGTAAGAAAAAACAATCATACGTACGTAGCGTAGCAACCAAAGTACGGCATCCCTCCCTCTATCTGCCTGCCTGTCGGTTAGCTATCTAGGCAGCTCACTCACTCACTCATCTACGTTGCTACCTAGCAGCCATCCGTGCCATGCCGCTGGTCTGTCTGTGTGCATGGGAATGGTGCGGTGGCTGGGCTATGTGTGTCATGTGTGTCATTCATGTCTTCTTGTGCATCTTAGCACACTCGGAGCAGCGGCAGTCCGCCCTGTGTCGGTAGTACACGACGTAGAGCGGCAGCGCCTGCTGCCCGTTGTACACTACGTACTCGGAATGATCTACCACACCTGCATTCCACACAACACAACCAAATCATTAGACCAAACAAACATCGCTTTGCTTGCCTTGCTGGCCAGGCTCATCTCATTCGCTCACAAACTGACTGACCTCCGTGCCTATAGGAGCTCGCCTGCACCGAGTCATGCGTCCTGGCGATCTCCTTCCCCCTCTTGTTGCCCACGCCGCTGTTGCTGGCAGTGGTGCTGCACCCGCCGCCCTTGTCGTCTCCCACCACCACCACCCCACCAACACCACCAACACCTGGCCCATCCAGCTCTCCCGCCCCGCCGGTCAGCTGGTCGCACCTCACCTCAACGGGCGTGTAGAGGGCCATGGTGTCGTCCCTCCGGCCGCTGCTGGCCGTCGTCTCGGCGTCTCCTGTGGTGGTCTTGTGGTGGTGGGCGCCGTTCTTCTGCTCTGACGCCCTGAGTAGTCTCTTGAAGTAGTTTGGGCTGCGGAGGGAGAGGGAGGGGGGCGGCTTGGCGGTGGACTGGGACGACGGGTCGTGATGGTGATCGACCTTTGGAGGCGTCACCGCGTCCTGAACAAACGAACGACGCACACACGACACGCAGAGAGATGGCGTGGTGTGGCGAGTGGTGGCCTGTTGTTGGTGTGTTGTACCGGCATGGCTCGGATGGATCTGTATGTGTGTCCGAGTATGACACGTGCGATGATCATGCACCTGACGTGCTCCTCGGCGGCGCCGTCCTCGCCCAGCTGCTCGTGCTTCTCGGCCGTCGTGTAGAGGTCGGCCTTGGAGAAGGTGTCGGCAAAGTACGTCCCCACGCCAAACAACTTGCCGCGGTGACCACCCGCAAAACTGACAGAGAGAGAGGAAGACATGACGGAGGTGCCTGCCCTTGTGTGTGTGTCATGCAGTGCAGTTATCGACCCACCGACCTGCAGTTGAAGCCCTCGGTGCAGATGCTCTGTGTCTTGACCCACGAGCAGCCGTGGTACAGGAAGGCCTCACACACGTGACCCCTTGCACCATCAGCCCCACCACACGCGCCACGCCGCACCAGGTCGGTCTTGAGCAGCGGGTTCAGCTGTGTCGCGTCACACCGCATCCGCACCAATGGCTCCGCCGCAGCCCCGGCCACACCCACACCGACCCCCCCAGCCTCCTCGCCCTTGTGATGGATCTGATGCAGACTGGCATACGTCTGGCGGTAGATGTCGGCGTATTTGCGCAGCAGCGAGGGGTTGGTAATGCGTTCGACGTAGAGGAGGTCGACCTGGGGCGGCGGGCAGAAGATGGCCGAGTGGAATGTCTCCCGGTGAGAGGTGAGGGCCGACGACACCATGAGCTCGATGTAGGAGTGCTCGCGGCTGCCCGGCTCCACCCGCTCGCACCGCGGCACCTCTTTGCTCTCGATGTCTTTGCTGGTGTCGCGGTGTTGCCCGAATGGGGAGGGGAGGGGCAGGGACCAGGCAGACAGCGACCGGCTGGCCGCCATGCCCCGCACCAGGCCATCCGGGTCGGTGGCCGCGCGTGTGATGGTGAGTGGCCTCCTGCCCCTCTCCACGACGCTCATCGACGACACCATCGCGTTGCCCTCCACAATGGCGGCGAGGGGCGAGGAGACCGCTGTGCCCGTCTCGCTCATCCGGGCGTGGTAGTCCTTGAGGGCCTTGTAGAGCTTGTAGACCTCCACGTAGCCCCTGAGGTCCACACAGGGCACCACGAAGATGTCCCCCGCCTGCAGGACGCGGCCGTTGGCCCCCTTGGCCTCCTTCGGGGAGGTCGGCAGGAGGGAGGGGGGCGGGCTGGCGCTGCTGCCCGTCGACCGCACGTCCACGGCGCTCCTCTTCTTGGGAATCGTCACCGACAGCCCACTCATGCCCTTGCTGAACCCACGGGACCCACCGGACGGGGCCGAGGGCGCTACGGCCGCACCACCAGCAGCGGTGGCCGTGTGAGAGTGAGGCGAGAACAGCCGCATGATGGCCTCGCCGATGCCACCCCTCCCATGGCAAGGACGGGGGGGTGCGTTGGTCGCCGCTGATGCGTCGGCATGGGCCTTCCATCTCCACTTCCACCTCCATCGGGTCGACCCATTTTGGCCCGACACGTGGTGGCTGATGGGGGGAGAGGGAGGGGGAGGGAGGGGCGGGGGCAGGGCGGCCGGGGGCGGGCTCAACGGCAAAGGGTGGGCGGCTGGGGAGGGGGTGGGCACTGGGAGAGGGCTCCTTGTCGATGCTCGTGAGGTGGGTGTGGAGTCGCAGCTGACCTTGCGGCACCTGCCCAGCCGTGTGCGGCCACCGCCGCTCTTGTTGTGTGCCGTCAGGTTGAGGCACGTGTACCCGGCGCCCCTCTTGCCGCCCTTCCTCTTCTTGGCGTGGTGAAGGTGATGGCCATGGGCCTTCTTGGCCTTGACGCAGAACGGCCAGTGCAGCACACGCATGAATCGGTCGCTGCCGCCGCTGGTGCTCTTGTCGACGGGGAGCATGGAAGGGGTGGCGGCTGACGAGCTGACGGTGGTGGTGGCCGTCACGGCCGGGCTGAGAGATGGGCTGACCGATGAGGGCTTGGCGAGCGATGCGGACGAGAGGGAGAGGGAGGGGCGGGTGCGCTTGGAGTGGGACGACACGTGAGAGGGGCGGAAGGGGATGCTGCACAGGGGGAAAGACGCTGCCACCGGGGTGCGGCGACGCTCCTGACCAAGAAGCAGAGAGAGACGCAAATGCATCCGTGGAGAGTGCGGTGCGTGTGTTGGCTGGTGTTGGTTGAGTCAGGTTGCTTACGTTGATCCATCCGTCGCATAGTTTGAGTCTCATGATGCCCTCCTGGTTGCGGCGCCGTTCATAGACCTCCACCTCGGTGCCGGGCGGGATGGTCCGCAGCACCTGCGACTCGATCTCCACCGACGGACGCACATTCTGACCACACAGACAGACAGACCACTGATGGGTGAGATCGCGTCTAAGTCAACCCATCAGTCAAGTTACCAGCATGTATGCGTCGATGCTGCGGTAAAGCCGTGGGGGCTGCAAGATGCCCTCCTCATCGTCCACTCGCCACACTGCACACAACACAACACACACACACGTACCAAGCACATCCATCCCTTGCCGCCATTCATGAGAGAGGTGTTTGTTTGTTTCTCGCTCACACTCACTCACTCACTCACCGAGGAATGGCCCCAGAACGCCATTCTCGGTCAGTTTCTCCGACACCCATCCCGCCGCATACCCGCCCCCGTCCTCGCTCCCCGCCCCACCACCGCCCCCACCACATGTGGGCGAGTCGCACTCGGGCATCTCCACCCAGTCCTCCTCATCGCCCCCATCCCTCGCCACCAACACCTTCAGACGCATCACCTCCTCGCCAGTCATCCAACCGCCCCGAGCGGTCAGGGGGGTGGTGTCTACGTCGTAGACGTGTGTGAGTGTGCCTGGGGAGAGGGTGAGGGTGCGGGGCGAGGTCAGGGAGGCGCTCTCGCGGACGTTGATCGAGTAGGGGCCGCACACGCGGTA